TATGGTAGGCACTCAATATATGGTGATCAGATGATATCTTAATGATGATAATAAATTTTAAGAATAATGTCTTTATAAAATACATTTTTTCAAAATTATTTTTGTGGATCTTCATGGGAACAAAAATTTCAGACCCACAAAAAGAATGTGGAAAACTGTAGAAAACTACTGAAAAAACTGGGAAAGTTCAGCAATCAAAAAGATGTAACAAATTACAGTCTAAGCTGCAATTTGCAAGAAGAATTGGTGGCTGTCTCAGAGAGGAAAGACATCTCTAATGCCATGGGTAAGCTTTTTTATTTCTTTACTCAATATTGGTTTCTTTAAAAGTAACCAGTATATCTGAAATCTGTACAGTTGTTATAAAGTTACCAGCATTTCTTCTATGTTTTTAATTGATTCTGTATGCTATTATTATATTTGAAAGTATATAAAATAATACAACTAATTTTTTTCTTCTTCATTTTTGGGATAGGGTCTCAACTGACTTTTGAAAAAATTGCCAAAGTACAATATGAAAACATGATGGAACAACAAAAGTTAACAAATATTTCAAAAGAACAAGCTGAACAGATTTTAGTACTGCAAGCTGAAGTTGAAAGACTAAGGATGAAAACATATCCTGCTCTTATTCCAATGTAAAAACACTGGTGGGAAACACAAGACCAAATCAATCATTTTAAAATAATTTAATTTGATTAAAATGATTTTTTGTTCTTTCATATCAGGAAATTTAAGTAGAGCCTCTTCTCAGTTGCATAGTTTGGTAGCAAATTATTTAATTTTAGCCTTAATAATTATAAAAATGTTTGTCATGCATAAATAAATGTATAAAATATGAGTTATTGTTTTCAAGAATGAGCAAGATTTTTACTCAGTATTCAAGAGGTATTTTACTTAGTTTTATCAAAAAATTACTTTCACAGTGATCATATAGAACGTCTTAAAGACAACAGGAAATTATTTTTAGCCACAAGTGACATTTCTAATTTTATAAATTACCTGATGTTATGATGAAATTATGGATGATTTTTATACTTTCCTATATTTTGTAAGTTTTCCTCAATAAGCATTTATTCTATAGTCAGAAAAAATATTGCCAGAACATTTAAGATTATTCCTTCTTCTTGAAATGAGAACATGGTAAACTATTTACTTTTATCAAGCCCTAAATCATTCATAAATTTTGACATTTTTTGTACATAACATAATCTTCTGCATGTTATGTTCATTGTAACAGAATTCAAGTTTGTGTCCTACCCAATTGTTTAGCAAACAGAAAAAAAAATGTTTTTTTATTTTCATGAAAAGTTTATTGCTATGTTCATGCAGATGAGAATGAAATAATGAGATTAACTGGTCAGAAACTGCTTTGCTGTTCCATAGCCCGTGGACTGCTACATTCCAAGATGCTACCATATGAAACACTGACCACAATCTTCAAGCGATGTCAATGTCTCATTGTTCTGCAATTTGTGAATTGTGAATTTTAATCTGCCATGTCCAATGTACACTGGTGTAGGTAAAGCAAGAGAGCTACTATAAAACCTATTTAGAAAAAAATATTTAGGAGATTTAAACATTCATTTAGAAATTGCCAGGATAATACCATAATTGATCACCCATACACTGATCAATATTAGATGGGAATGGTAAGAGAAATAATATGACCAACATTTTTGATGACTTCCCTCCTTAGTAATAGAATTACTCCTGAAGTAGTCAGTTTTTTCTGATTCAGCAGGGAAGTGCCATTGGTAACATTTTCTATATATAAAGTCCTTCAAAATTATCTGACGAGGGGGTTCTGGGGGTGGGGCATGGGAACATGGATCCAAGTGTGGATAAGTGTGTGAAGAATACAAATACCTTGTACATAAAATAGGATTGACAGTTCTCTGTCCTGTCAGTTGGAATCAACCATGAATATACTAGTCTTCCCCCTCCCCCGACTGGTGATACAAATTCCATGTCAACTAAATTAACTGCCTGCAGGCTCTATTTGCTAATAGTCAATGCCATAAATTTCACTGGATAATGCTCTGTGAATTCCAAGCTCCTAACAAACCAGTCTGTGTGATTTCTGTTTCTTAGTAGCCGTCCTGGGTGACTGGCAATGCTTTTTGCTTGAATGCCACAGCTTTGAAACATGTATAGAGTGGAGGTTAACAGGAACCTCTTGCTCCCTCCTCCCCCCCCCCCCCCCCCCCCCCCCCCCCCCCCCCCGCACCAGACTATAGCCTAATAGCGGGACTTTTCAACAGGAGGTATCCTCCGGTTTGGAGGATTGTTTGTGGAAGGGCACGTGGGTCATGCACCCCAACCTACTTTTGATACTGTCCATGGTACTGATTCTTCTCAGCTTCTGCTGAACTAAGCAATTATATTCATATTTTATAGCCCTTTAAAATATTATCTATATTATTTAAAAGCAGTGTAATGAACTGGGTCAAACATAGCATGGCTTTAAGCATAGCACTTAAGAATAGGGCTCTGGTACTGAGTTGCCTGGTTATAGATCCTGGCTCAGGCACTAATTTTAAATAACTGGTTTTTAAATAACTACTTGATCTTAAATTTCCTTATCTTAAAAATTGGGATGTCGAATGAGTTAACATACTTTTTAAACTGACACAAAACAAGTGCTGTTAGCTTTCATTTTTCCGAATAAAAATGTTATTCAGGCCCTTGCTGGTTTAGCTCAGTGGATAGAGCATCAGCCCGGGGAATGAAGGGTTCTGGGTTTGATTCCAGTCAAGGGCACAGTTGCAAGCTCCATCCCTGGTCCCGCCCTGGTTGAGGCATGTGCCGGAGGCAACCAATTGATGTGTCTCTCTCATGTCAATGTTTCTCTCTTCTCTATCTCTCCCACTCCCTTCCGCTGTCTAAAAATCAATGGAAAAAATATCCTCGGGTGAGTATTAACAAAATGAAGGTTTATGGCAACACTGCTTCAAGCAAATCTGTTGGTGCCATGTTTCCAACAGCATTTGCTCACTTCATGTCTCTGTATCACATTTTAAATTTTTTTCATTATTATCCTATCTAATAAAGAGGGAATATGCTAATTGACTGTCACACCCTCAAAAGATGGCAGCACCCACAGCCAATAAGGAGGGAATATGCTAATTGACTGCCACACCTTTAAAGATGGCGGCGCCCAGTCCCCTCAGGACCGCTGGGGCAGCAGGTGCTCCTGCCTCCAGAGTTCCCCAGTCCCCCAGGGCCGGCCCGAGGCACAGGCAAGCCTCGGATGGCAGCTGCCCAGCTGCCCAGGGCCACCTGAGGCTCAGGTAACCAGGGCCAGCCAAGGCTTGCGCTGCCGGCAGTGGCAGCAGCAGAGGTGTGATGGTGGCGTCACCTCCTGCCCCTGAGGGCTCCCAGACTGTGAGAGGGGGCAGGCCGGGCTGAGGGGACCCCCCCTCCAGTGCATGAATTTTCATGCACTGGGCCTCTAGTGTATTATGATCTGTGATCAGTGAACTTTGATATTACTATTGTAATTATTTTGGGGCACCACAAACCATGCCCATATAAGATGGTGAATTTAATGGGTAAATGTGTGTGTTCTAACTGCTCCACTGACTGGCTGTTCCTTTCCTTGGGCCTCCCTACTCCCTGAGACACAACATTTAAATTAGGCCAACTAATAACCCTAATAAAGCTAGAAATGAATAAGCTTAGTAAGGAAGACATATTGAAAGCTGAGATGGGCCAAAAATTAGACCTTTTGTACCAGTTAGCCAAGTTGCACTGGGAAACCAAAAACTTCATGACTCACTTTATTGCGGTGGTCTGGAAATGAGCCGTTTATAATACTTCTGAGGTATGCCAGTAATGTATACCATCAAATGGAGGTGAAATTCAACAGAAAAGATTTTGTAAAAAGAGACCACCTCATGGGCATCCCTATGCCCCAAACTCTCCCATAAGCCTGATCCATATTCCATAACCTCCTGTTACTAGAGAACCCACTATGCTGCTGGAGCCCTCAGCCTCCAGCCAGTGCCTCGGAAATGCCCATTACTGTGCTGCCTACTCTCTCCAACTCTCCTAGAAGCAGACTTCCACTGATGCTGTAGATCTCCCAAGTGAACATGTAAGAGTGACTCCAGGGAATGCGATAAGTTAGCAGTGCAACTGCAGTCAAATGCCAGCACCATCAGCAGCTAAACCGCTTCTCCTGCCACATTTAGGCCCTCTGGCTGATCAGCAGTTGATGGAGGCTGGTTGGCACAAAAGAACACAGCTCCCCAGGGCCAGGGGAGGCACATGTGAGGCCTAGGCCTGTCCTCTTGGTTCAGAAGCCAATGACAATGGCAATTTCAAGAAGGGAGGAATTTATATATTGGGGGAGGAAATAGGTAGGAGGGAGGTGACTGAGCTTACTGTCATGGGCACTAACAATTAGAATGGATGCAAGAGCACAGTCCTTGAGTCTCCTGCTATGCCAAATATTAACAGTTTGTTAGGCCATTGGGAGGAACTGGACTGAAAATGGGGTGCACCTAGAAGAAGGGGGTCTACAAGTAGGGAAGTACTTTCTTTTTAGGTTTGTTAGGTTTTTTAAAAGTAAGTAAAGCTGTTTTCGCCCTTAAAAGGACCCAAAAGTAGAAATTCAGCAAGTTCTCAGGAAGGACTGAAAGTGCACCAGCTTCCAAGTTTACATACAATAGCTTCAGCCACAAAGAAATGAGCTTTCTTCTCCCAAGCACAATTCTAAATTCTCAGAGACTGGGCCAGCTTGGGTTATTGTACATGGCCAGGATGACATTGTACGACAGGGCAGCCAGAAACACAATCCTATGAAGATGGGTTTCTGGCTGAGAAGTAACTGTGAACTAGACACTCCCATCTATTTCACAGATGAAGCTAGAAAGGGAGATGAATCCAAAAGACCTTGTAGGCCATAATGTCTTAAAGTAGGAGAAGACGATATGTGGTTTTGTTAGCGAGAGATGGTCATGTCACTAAATGAGATGAGGAATACAAGAAACAAATTTGCAGAAATCGGAAGAATATAATTTTGGACATAAGAGTTTACTAGTAACTACCTAATAGGCCATACAGATGGAAATACGTGGTAAATTGATGGAAACAAGGTTCATCAACTAAGGAGACAGGCAGGCATTTTAGACCAGTTTAGGTTTAGTCATTCACCAGACTGAACTACTTTTTAACATTTAAAATAAAACATCTTTTTATAATAAACAAGACAATGTATTATAACTGACTTCCAAAACTGCCCAAATTATGTTTTAAAACATGATTTAAATTTTTTTCACATATCTTTAAATGTCAAATTTTTTGACAGATTATCCAAAATACTAAATTTTCATTTTAGAACTTACATATTTATCTAACAGAGTACCCTAAGTTGATGTTCATCAAGATACCTTCTTTTAAGCCCCAATGGTTTATATCTTCCCTTTAAAATGTGTATTTTTTAAGTTGTCATCCTCAAAGATATTCTGGAGAAAAAATTAGTAATTAAACACCTATAAATTCTTCTTCATTTCTGTTGTAGTGTAATAATTTATCATCTAACCCATAGTAGTCTATCAACTGAGTAAGGCTAAGTTTCTTGTTCTCCTCAGACATAGCTGACTGCAACTCATGAAGCAACAGTTGGCTACAGCTTCTCCACTTCTTTATTAACAACTGTAACTGAGACAGGTCATTCTGAAACAGGAAAAAAAAACATATAAATGTATGGCAATAACTAGACAGGCATCATATTTTAACTTAAGTTGTTAAATCAGTGGAGTAGGTTTAAAGGGTACCAAGATATTTGATCATGAATGAGCCTTATACCCAGGGAAAAATAGGGTGATTGTTACAATGACACTCCAATTGAGTTCTAGGGTATTTTGTTTAGTGAGAGCTCTGGGCCTCCCTCAACACTCAGGGAAAAATCAAAGCATTAAGTAGGGCAAAACTATGTAGAAAAGCAACAATAGTTTTCTATTACAGCTGTACTTTTAAAAATGAAATATTCAAATTATTTTTCAGCATTCACTATCTCATAAAACTCAAGTAGCTATACTTAGAAAAATCCTAAAAATTCAAGATAGCAAATAAGATATACTATTCCATCATTTATTCCACATTGCTAGGGAAGGAGAAAATGCAGATATTTGAATGATCCAGGTAAATAAAGGTTATCTTCTTCCAAGGGCCCAAGTTCTACTTAATTCAATCTATCTGGGATGAAATCTAAAGTATATTTGTTGTTTTTTTCAAACAAAATGCCTGTAACTTTTAATAATTTGGAGGAATAAAAGATCACTACTAAAAATACTTTTTATTATACTCTGTGGCCCATATTTAACTTTTTAAATCATCCACTATCAGCTGTCACTTCTGTTCTCATTGTACTTGCATCTAACATTTGATATTTCTAATATTGCCACATGCTAAAAAACTTCAACTGCATATTAAATAGAGGGTGGGACTTTTAAAAAGTTGAACCTGGTGTTTAGAGGCCTCTTCTGCTTTAAATCTGACATATTTGAGTTAAAAGTTGTTAGAAACCAGGTTTCTGAATACTTGGCTTATTGCTTGTTATGCTAAAAATAATTTTCTCTTTTTGAAATGACTTTCCTATTATTTACCTAAAAATAAATCTAACAATTTAAAAAGTAATTATGCAATGACTCTGAAATTATCCTCACCTTTGATCTATACATTTTGACTAGTTTTAGCCTCCTAAGAAGGTCTTCTTTCTCGTGAATCTGTTTCACCAATTTTGCCTTTTCTTCATTTAATCCTTTTTGGGGAAGAGTCTCATCAAAGTCATTCTGGAGATCACTGCAAGAGCCAGTATCAAGTGATTTAGATTCACATGCATTGATATTCTTGATGGTATTTTTCAAATATGAACTTTCTTCAAATTCACTGTCTATGTGCTTAAAATTATCTTGAAATTCCAAACAATTTTCTTCTGTTGAACATGATGCTTTCTCTGGAAAGGTCTGATCGTTTTCTTCATTCTCTACTTTAAGACGTTTTACCACATTGTAACAGGAATTGAATGAAAATCTAGTTTTCCTCAACCGTTCTCTAAGTGTTGCACTCATAGGCTGTAAAAGGCAGAAAAACATTAATGTTAATAAAAAATATTCTTGATGTAAACAAATCTACTAGAACTAAAGACCTTACATTTCTATGGCACACACCACTATCTAGATGACTTTCTGTCTCCATAGATCTTAAGTAACCATCACAAAATGTCTTTAATTCCTGGAAGCTCCATTAGTTTTATTTTAGCAAAGTCATCACTCTTCTACAACGGTGCTGAGACACTTATTCCAGTAATCACAAACATCTGTTCAGCAACTTAGCACATGCCTGACCCTGCTCTAGGTGCGTCAGTTACAAATTTTGGAACAGACCTAGATCCTGCCACCAACGACCTTCATGGCACTGCAAATTCAAACTTCTTCAATTTGTAATAACCTGATCTGAAACTAAATAATTGACTCAAAATGAAATTTTGGGGGTGGGGAGAAGTCAAATACATTATCTTAGAAGATCAAAAATCATTTAATACACTTATTCATGCTACACATGATGTTAATTAACAATCTTCAGTAGACTGAAAACCACCACTGCCAGAATCACTAGAAACATAGAACTGGCCCACTGGAAGAACGACATTTTCATACTTGCTTTCTTGAACTACTTGTATGGGGAGATGGTAGACTGGCACAGCCCTGTGGAGTGCGAGGTAAAATCACAGCTGAGTCCGAAGGACTTTCCATCTTGAAAATGTTATCGTGGTTTACTTCTAAAAGACAAAAATAATCACAAAACGGAAATCAAATTAACCCCCATCTTCTATAGACTCCCGTCTTTATCAAAGTATTTTTTTATTATAGGTAACATCAGCAAGTAAGCCAGCATCTTCCTCTTTCACTTAGCTGTGATTCATCACTGCTTTTTGCTGTTGTTTTCCATTTACCCTCCTAAACAAGGTTGTGTTGGTTCACATGGTGACTACTAGTTTTTTCATGACAAATTAACTAGCTAGCGTCTCATATAAACAAGACTCTCCATTTGTTTTCATATTCAAAACCTGCCATATGGGAAGAAGAACGTTGGATAGTTATGAATTCCTTAATTTCGTTCTGCCAGCTTCATAATGAGAGGAAATAGAACTGAAATCTTGCCCCCAAAGAACATGATCAGACCTGTCCCACCACCCTGAACCTTAAAGGCTGTGCGATTGGAACCAATGACTCTCCAGGACCTAGGGATAAGGAACACAACCGCAAATAAATGTACGCCTGTCTGCATCATTTCCGTTTAAGTAGCGAAAAGACCCTGCAAAGGAGAGTCCACTGAGGTTTGTTTCCCCGAAACAAAGGCATCAACTTTACTGGGGGAGGTGTGGGGGGAGGAGAGGGAGAGCGGGGGGTCGCGGGGAACAGAGGAGTCGTCCCTTCCCTCCCACCATTGCAGAAAACCACACTAGCCCTGGAGGCCCCAGACCCGAGTGCAGTTGAGAGGTCCCCTGACCGCGGAAAGGCAGCGCTGTTTGACTGCACAGCGGACCCCAAGGCCGTTCAGCCTTCACACAGATACTCGCGAGCCCGGACGCTACCTCCCTCCGCCATCCCCACAGCGACGGGAACCCGCCCAGCCCCGGCCGGGGGCGCTCCGGTTCCAGGGGCAGAGCCTCGCGGGAGGCGGAAACAGCGCGCGATTGGCCGGATTGACTGACGCGCGCAGCTCAGCTTCACCCAGCTCGCGAGAGCGGCGGCACTGCGCGCGCGCGGCCAGGAGTCTCCACCAGGGGGACAGGGCGGGGCGGGGAGGGGCGGGGCGAGGCCACGGGAGAGGCGGCAGAGACGCGTGATTGGCCAAATTGAGAGACGCGCGCGGCTCTGCTCCGCCCAGCGCCCTGGAGCGGCGGGACTGCGCGCGCAGCTGCCGGCGTCAGGTAGGCTGGGCTGGGCGTCGCAACTCACGACCGGATTCCCAGGGAGTGTGCTTTTCTTCGCGGCTTTCCCTCCCTCTTCTCTCCGTGCAACACTTTCCTTCCTGCTTCGTTGTGTTTGTGTTTGGGCTCCTTGCTCACCACAGCAAAGACCTTTCCTCGGACTTGACAGGACCGAGAGCCTCAGGGAGGTCCGTATGTTGAATTTACAGCTCGTAAACTCTCCAGAGGCCGAGGCCACAAAAGAGCCGCGCCGGTTAATGGCCTGTGGAGAATCCAGTCGAGCTCGTTTCTAGCCCGTGCGGTCCAGTCCCCGAGGTTTTGCTGTAGCTACCTCAACATTTAGATTTCCTCAGTTTGGCTTCAAATCTGAGAGAAAATGTCGTCCAAGGACGTTTGTTGTGGTACAACAGAGGAAGCAGAACGAATCCCGAAACAAGATGATGTTGTTGCCGGATGCAGATGTTTGGAGCAGACCGGGCCCTTGTGAATCCTGGGCAGCGCGTCCTTAGTCTAACACACGCCCTCGGTTTCCTGTGTGGCCATGGGCTGCGGCTGGGCAACAACCAAGTTCACTGGGTGGGTGGAGTGCTGCTTTAGGCAAAGACAGCTGAGTAATTGCCGAGTCACCAGGAAGGTGGGAATGTTACGGGGCCGGGGTTCTCGGTCCTGGGGGATGAATGGCCCTTTTAAACCTGACCCAGTCTCTGTGCTGACACCTTTCTGACTGGCCTGGGGTGGTCAGGACCCGGAGGATTTACCTGAGTCCTGGGCGGTCGGATAGAAACACAGAGCCTAATGCAGTGGTTCAAGACAAATGTGGGCGTCAGATGGCCGGGGTTCGAATCCCGGCACCATTATTGTATGTGCTTGGTAACGGCGTGTCTCTGCCTTGGTTTCCTCTCGGGTAAAATGGGATTATAATCTCGACCTCCTAGGGATGAGAGGATTAAATGAGAATTCAATGCGGATGAGAACAGTGCTAGTATCTCCGAAGCAGTCTGTAGTTGTTATTTTATACTAGAGGCCCAGTGCACGAAATTCGGGAACGGGTGCAGTCCCTAGGCCTGGCAGGCCATCGAAGCACTAGCATCTGGCGTGGAAGGGCAGGTCCCAGCTGACCTCTGGGCCCTGGGCAGCACCTGGGCCCCCAGGCCCCCGCGGACCCCTCCACCGGAGTCAGTGGCGCTCCATATGGTGAGCGCGGCCGCGGGCCGGGGCACAGTGTGGGCCTCTTGACCTGGCGCTGCCCACTCATCTGCTCCACCATCCCACCGCAGTCCTGCTCATGTGGGAGCCCATGGGCCTGGCAGGCCTCCACTGTTGCCAGCACCATTTCTTGCTGACGCCCGCCATGGTCTAGGCCGCCCCCTGGTGGTCAGCACATGTCATAGCAAGCAGTCAAACTCCCAGTGGAACAACCACCTAAGGAGACAACTTGCATATTAGGCTTTTATTATAGAAGATAGCAACTATATTCATCATTCCCTAATTGACTTAAAGGAATGCATCACATAATTTTTTCAACCCTGCACTTACCTTTCAAAAAAAGGCCACATTTTTTTTAATGGGGGTTGTGCTCTGTGATCTCTCTCACAATTTAAACCACAAATAGCAGAAAATTTGGAGCCTCCACAGTAATTAATATGTATTCCACTCCTAAAATTTTCAAAAATGCTATAAATTAATCTCAAGGAATTTAGAAAATGAACGTGAGTGAGCACTCATGATTTTGTGATAGGGGTGTTATTCACCTAACCAAGCCACAGGTCTCAGTCTGTACTTTTATTTCTCCCTTTACTCATCCATTGGCATCAGTTTACTCACACTGAAAAAAGCAGAATGATTTGTCCTGACACTAGAAGCACAATGCAGACTCTGCATATTCTTTATACCTTGGGGCATAAGGTTGGGTCCTGTTTATGATTCCCTCAAGACAGCTGCTCCAAAATCCTTTTATCATTACAACCTAAGCTCAGAGCTGTTTTTGCTGGCTGCATAAAGGAAAACATCTTGCCTTGGAAATGTTCTGACTTGCTTATTATGTGAACTGGTATATTAAAATGAGATTGTTTTGGCCAGATTTTTAAAGATTTTCAGAATAAGTACTCAGAAAAACCTAGTTTCAGCCCTAACCGGCTTTGCTCAATGGATAGAGCATTGGCCTGCAGACTGAAGGGTCCCAGGCTCGATTCTGGTCGGGGGCACATGTTGGGTTGTGGGCTCCATTCCCAGTGGGGGAGGGGGGTGTAGGAGGCAGTCAATCAGTGGTTCTCTCATCATTGATATTTCTATCTCTCCCTTCCTCTCTGAAACCAATAAAAATATATTTTAAAAAATAACAAAAAAAACCCTGATCTTCCATATATGTTTGTGTTGTACCTATTCCCATCACATACCAAAATGGAAACATACATTCCACTCTAGTGTAAGGGATCTGGGATATAGCCTCTATAGTTTTCACTGTACCTTTAGATAAAGCCTAGCAAACATTTTCATGTCCTTAGAAGCCCAAAATCTTTTGACCTTTAAGGAGTTTGGTGTTTCTGACACAGGACATTGTATTTTCCTATGAAGCTTTTCAGGCAGGGAAAAATATGCCAGAAGGCAATGACTCCTTACCCTACCATGGAGAACAATTTGAGCAATGGAATTCAATGATAATAGTAATTAATATCAACCTAAGACAGGTTTTCTCATTGTGTTTTTAAATTTCTTCAATACCCAGGGCTACCATTAGTCACTTTGTTATTCATTAAGGAGTGGTAAAATGTACCTTCCATTCTTCTCTGTGATTATTGTTTGTAGGATGATGACATAGACCTAAAAAAATTTTATGAGGCTTTTTTTTTTTAACAACAAGAAGAGCATAGTGAATGCTGTTTCCCTCTCCCTTTCTCTTTCTCCATACAAACACACACACACTTTTAAGCCACAATTCAAAATTATGTTTCAGAAGATGTATTTAGTTTTTTAATTATTGGCTTTAGCTTTATTTTAAAAATTTTAACAGTAATCTCAGGGTGACCTAAGTTCCGTTTCATTAACTTTTCTGGGTTTGACAAAAAACAAAAAACAAATTATATTACTAGTATATAGACATAGCTAGTATAAGTATTTTTTAAAACAATTGAAAATGTAAATATACATTTTTAAGACCAGATTTAAATCCACTTAGGTGAGGAATTATGCAGAATGCACATGATTAAGTTGATTTATAGTGTTTATTAAGACAAACTAATACAGATTTATAACACTCAAAAGAAAATCTAAATTCTCTTAATCAACTTGCAATATTTCTTATGACATTTGTATATAATTGCCTTTAAAAACTTTCCTCTAGGTTTCTCTTGCCATGAATTCAAATATCATCTTAAAGACCTATCCATTGGTAAAGAAGATGCATTTTATTTAGTCCTCTGTCTTCTCATAAGTTTCCCTTTGAGAATAATTGACAAACTATTTCTATTTCTTTTCTCTAGTACCTAAAGACCTCATATAAACATTTATAATGTGTAATGATTCACTTGTAGAGTCTATTGAAGACATTGTTATCAAAGGGGTGAACTGTTTAATATGCTTTAGCTAAGTTAAGGAAAAAGTTTTATTTTTAACCTCAAGATGAAAGAGCCCTTGACTTAGCTATAGGCATGCCTAAGAGGTTGCCTCACTGAGTAGTAGGATGTCTACTGAGAGTATGGAAATATGGAAATGGTCAATAGTATTAGTATGATAAAAACCTGTCCACCCCCAGGCAACTAGAAAATTCATCTGGTAACTAATATTGAGGGTAATATACTGAACAAGATCCTAAAGAGCTCTTTTCACCAAAAGTTCCTTTCCTTTTATTCTTTCAGATCTGGCATTTTTTCAAGTCCATTAGAGACCAGAGAAGTAGAGTGTCTCTGACTCACTGCTATTACTGGGGTGTGTTCTCTTGGAGAAGAATAGAGTGATTCAGGTTAGATTAATAACAGTGAGGAAGGGGGTAAGGGTGTATGTGGGTGGGAGGGTCGTGGCAGATGAGTTAGATTGTGGGAAAGTAATGGTAATAAAAGTATTGCTCAGGGCCATGTCTTTCTCAGATCCTTTATGAACTCAGAAATGTCATCAGTGCATTTATTTGGAGAAAAAAAGGCATTAGATGTCAGCAAATCCTTAAGCAACAGAACATGTCTTATAATCACTTTTAACTACCTGAAGTTTGAGAGATAACTCCCAAGATATTTTCACAGTATTTAAATCTGTTTGAAGTGCCAGGAAAAAAAAATCAACTCAGTTTTCTACCCTGGGCTCTCCCTTTGGTTTCAGACTTAAGAGTATAAAAGGTTTATTCTCAGTGATGTTTTTTAGATGGGGAGCAAGGGTATCAATGGTACCAGGAAATAAGGAGTTAAGAGACCATTCTACCATGAGCTAGGACCCTTTTGATCTTTTTGTTTCTGCTCTTCTATCACTTAGCAAACGTTGATGATAGAGAAAGGTAGTAGTAGAGAAAACCTGAATTATTTAGAACCAGGAATTTCATGGCCCTGTTCAAGATCTGAGAGTTAGATAGAAGCTTAATCCCTTTCCCACCACTCCCAAAGGCAACATAAAATGTCTTAGATTTTCATAATGGACCTTTATGAGTTACACCAAACCCACTGAATACAGAGCCCCTGACCACCAGATCTGAATCACCAGGTAGTATCCATGGAGAGGCATGATCAAAGATGGGGGAAGTGGCTTGGGCAAAGGCATCTCTTCCTTGATCCTCTCCCTTCCACCTTCAAGATTGTGCCTAGTGCCCATGTCCCCCATGTCATGTTTAAATCATACAACTTGTCAGTGAGATCAACATTACCCAGCTCTCCACCTTTGTAGCAACCAAAATAAAGAAAGAAAGAGAGAGAGAGAGAGAGAGAGAGAGAGAGAGAGAGAGAGAGAGAGAGAGAGGAAGGAAGGAAGGAAGGAAGGAAGGAAGGAAGGAAGGAAGGAAGGAAGGAAGGAAGGAAGGAAGGAAGGAAGAAGAAGAAGAAAGAAAGAAAGAAAGAAAGAAAGAAAGAAAGAAAGAAAGAAAGAAAGAAAGAAAGAAAGAAAGGAAGAAAGAAAGGAAGAAAGAGAAGTTTAATAATGGCAAATGATATCACTGTTTTTTATAGTGAAAATATATCTTTCCCATAAATAGGTTCTTAGAAAGAAGCATATGATACAGCTACATTCACCCTGACAGTTTTCCAGGATTACTCAGCTATTTAGACTTTGTTAACACAAGATTAAGACATAATACTATTCTTTCAACAGTGTACACCTTTATCTCAAACACTTCCCAACCCTCCCACCTCCCCAAATTTCCCCTGTATGCCACTCAGATTATTAGTATAGCAGATGTCAAGTACCTGTATCATCTCAGTTATTTTTCATTTGATGTAAGTGGCTCTGAGTCAAATTATCCTTTTCTTACAGCCACTTACAAACCTTACTCTTATTATCTTTTAGTCAAGAAAAGGTTAATTGTTTTCCAATACTTTCAGTACATGAGAATGATGGCTTAGTCTATCTCCATTGAACTGTTTACTCTTTTCCTTACACTCTGGTATAAGTTGTGAATCTATGCCTTTCTATGAATGCTGGATATTGAAAACTCAGCTTTTATGTTGCTGAAGATCTGCTGTCAGTGGAATTCATA